GACTGATGAAAATACTAAAATAAAACTCGTGACGGCAATGTCCGGTTAGCTTAAAGGTTTTATATCTCTTACCCGAAACGTGATGTCCAGGACTCCAGGACTTGTGACCCATACTGCATGGGGACACCATTAATTGAAAACACCAGGTTGATCACATCACCTGATTCTTTAGCAGGCAAAGTTCTGATAAGAAAATAATATGAGCTTTCGACTTTTGGGTAACTGCGGGTGCGAAGTTATCAGGAACATACTATTACTGGAAAATGGTTAGAAATTAGAATCGGGTGTATCACTGTATCAGTGTATCATATTCCATATAATGAATTTATGCATGTATAATAAAACAATATTATGTAAGTTGTACCAGGAAGGATAATGAAACATCTGAATGTGATATTGGTTATACGTTGTTACTCATGCGAAGATTTGCAGTTTTTGTTGTTATATTACAAGGCTGAGCGTATTCGTTCTACTCTGCACCATCAAATAATATTTCATTTTGATTCATGACTTGATAAAAAGCGGCATGGTTATTAATTAATAACGATCGAATCATTTATAAAGAAAATGTTATAAAAGGATTAAAGTTGGCCGTTGGCCATGAAACGTTTCATTTAAAATTAAAGCTCTTAGCTCCATCGATTTCATAACAGCCACCTCAGCTGAGTTCAGCTATAATATTATGCTCATCATATGACACTGCGAGGTAATTCGGTTTAGATTGGTGACCTCTTCTACTCAAATTGCGAGAGACGAGAGTATACAACTTTTGACTTTTGAATTGTGTTTTCATTATTATTATTTTTTCATTATATTTCTGTAGTCTCTTAGATCACCGTCACGCGATTGTACATCACGGGACTCGACAAGAGATAAAAGCAGATAAAACTTGCGTAGATTGCGTAGATTCTCGGTACATAAGCAACATTTGACAGAGCATCTTGTGGAGTGAGTTATGTGCCCAGTCTTGGCGAACTCGGCATGAATGTGCTTGCTGTACGGCAGTGTTAAACAAGGAACTCAAACCGAGGGGTTCCGTTCAGGCCCTTTACACTTTGTTTCTGTCTGGTTCTAATATACCGTAACATACTGATCTGACTTTAATATAAGTATAACTATAACTCAAATTTTTTCCGTTCAATTTTAGATTTTGAAGACTCGAGGGCCATTGCTTTTGATAAAGCTAAATGGAGTTCATTCGAAAAAATTTAGTTGTATCTTTTCGAGGATCTTTTATCTTTGAGGCAGCTTCCAATAAAATTCTTAGGATTGCTCATGTTTCAGATATTTTGAACTTTGATATGGTTTTTAACGGCATAATGATATAACATGCCCGCATACTAAAGTACTAACTCTAGTCTTTGTTTGGTCACCCTTTGGAGGCCAAAGTTTTAGATTTTTAAGTGTACTGCTTTTATACTCTCATAGAATTGTAGAATTACAGAAAATACCATTAGTACTTCCAACCAGTCGAAACGGATTTTGTAAGTTAAAACATCGGTTTCAAGCTCTCTCCGCACTTTCAACGCGGAGTAGAACTACAAGAGACTGTTACGACTCTCTTAATTCACTCGGATCCAACAACACGCTAGATATACGATGGATTGCAGCACACATCGGATTGTGGGGGAACGAAAAAGCAGATGAGCTGGCCAAGCTTGGCACCATCAGTGAATCCACTTTGAAGTGTCCAATTCCACAATCCTACATCAAGCGTCAAATCGACACCAAAGTCAACAGACTGAATCAGGAAACTTGGTCAACTGACGGTCCCAGACACACCAAACTGACACTCGGCCACAAGCATGCCAAAATCATCAAAAACCTCAACACTACACTCAGCAATAACAGACAAGATTACAGAACTGCAGTTCACCTCATCACGGGTCACTGCGGCCTAAATAAACACCTCCACACCATTTGCAAATCAAACACCAGTGCTTGTCCTATGTGCGGGGACGGAGAGAGAACTGTCTCACACTTCCTTGGACAGTGTCCGGCTATTGCCCAAATTAGAGGTCAATATTTCCAGGACTACTACCTCTCTGTCAATGACATATTCGACAACCAACACATCACCACAATTGTCAATTTCACAAACCGCACCAAACGCTTAATTGTGCCGGAAGAACTGGATCAGACCGGGGTGACTTAAAGTATTATCTCATATGCTGTCTCGTCTCGTTTTACTTTTCCAAACCCAGCTGGCATTTAAGCGTATCATTTTGACTCATATAACATCCTACACCACCCTCCACCAATCACTCTGATCTCACCGGCAACCTTCCCCAAGGTTGCCACACCCCAGAGGTAGGCAGAGCATCTCAATGCTATCCTCTCGTGGGCTATCATGGCCCAGCCTCTCTAAAAAATAAAAATAATAAAAAAATAAAATAAAATAAAAAAAAATAAATAAAAAAAATCGGTTTTATTCTTTCTTTACCGTTTGTACGTGAGTCTGTCATACTGTGAAACTGTGGGTGACTTCATGGTCACATGGTCACATGCCTATCTAGGGTATTTGCTTATCAGGTGGGTCATCACATGCCCTCCATGATGGTTAAATAACATTCCTTCGATACTTGCTATCAGTATCACAGTTCACCTGGCTGTACGTGACACAAACAGCTGCAGAATCGTAGATGGTACGCCATTTTATTGTAATTTAATTCAACTTCCTTATTGGAGCTTGATGATTTTATTGTACTGTTATACCTTACAAATTGCATTTGTTAATGTATTATGATTTTACCCGAATGGTACATTAACCAATACCTTGACCTGCTCTGATATTTCCAGAATAGTGTTTCACAGGGTCTCAAGTTTCATTCCCTTATACCGTGATAAGAACATGCGACTAGCTGTGACGTATTGTCGTATTATCTGGTATTCTGTTTCTTATCTTTATCTCGTTAAAATGGGACTGCTTGGGCAGGCTTATTGCATTTAGTGTATCTGTTCTTCCGTCTTCACAGCTATTATGCGTTCGAAAATAAGTGGGGAGCTTTGTTGGCAAATTCAAAATTTCGTGCGATTCTTCGATTAAAACGTTTGCTACATTGTTTGACTTGGTTATCATTTTCAAATACGTACACTTCCTATATATCAAGTATTTTAACTATTTTCTTCACACAGCTAACAAAACACCAACAGAAAAAGGTTCGCATTCCCATCACAATGCTGGCAAGCATAACCGTTGCCCTTATATTCACAACACTATTTACCCCCTATACTATTATATCCCCTTTATTGTTTTCCAGGCATTAAGACTCATCGAAAGTAGTTCAGCAGGTATATTTAAGTTTAAAACATTCTAATTCAATGTTAAAGATGACAGGAATAAGAAATAGTTATGTGGAGGTTTTTAAGAAATTTGCGCAAAATACGCGCCAGCATGTTATACGAAATTAGGTAAAAAACCCAAAATCGCCATATTCAGGTGCCTTAAAAACCATGTTAAAGTTGAGTTAGAAATCTGAAACTTTGCAGGGCGTCTAGACCTTGTCCAAATCGACTGTAAAAAAAATTTCATGTTTCAGGAGTATCGGGAAATGGGTTTTCTGGAACCCCTGTTTTACAACAGATTGTCGTGAAGCATATATAATATATATAGACGCTTTTGGCAGTCAATTGTAGCCTACATTTAAGTGTCAGTTGATTCAAAAGTATAAAAGATACAGTCATTTCGAACCACAGGTTTTAAAGATAATTGTTTATACTTTAGTTTACATTATATCGAAAAATAATTTATCGTCATCATCATCACTTGATGACGTCATCAATTTAAGTGTTTTTTAAACTTGATTTTTGACAAAATAACAATTTTTTAAATCGATTTAACACCATTAAGGAGTAATTTTATTCAAGAACTGAGGACATTTTCATCTTAGATAATTGTTCAAGTATTCTGAAAATCTACCGGAAAAGTTTCCTACCTTACTCCTTCAGATATTCGCTATTGAAGTTAGTGCTTTTTTGAAGAATAATTTTATAAAAACACAAAAGTTGTGAATTAGTATTCTCTGGTGTTGGACCATCCCTTGGGTTGCGGAGCTCAATTTTGCTTCTTAAAGGTCTAAATTGTGTTATAGGCTAGTTTTAAAGTTGAAAATATAAAAGTTGCACACGTGGGGACACGCCCAAATTGATTTAAAATAGCTAAAATCACTGAAAATCGTTATTTTCAGGATTTTTATCAACTTTGGAGTCCCGTTGTGATTCAAGTTCTTTTTGAAATCTTCTGAAACTTTGCATGCTTATCAGACTATATATTAAATACCACTATGCAAAAATTTACGGTGATTCAATATTGTTTGCGCACGCAACGTCCGCTCAAAGTTTGCACGTGCGAAAGGTGAGAATTTTGCTCATTCGTGATTTCGAATATATTCTGCTTTCCCACGATATTTAAATGGCATTATATATGAATTAAATGCCAACTTGAATGAGTAAAAAGTGCCATATTCAGTCGGTTATCGACAGATATACCTACCTAAACACAAGGAAATGTTTTCAAAAGTAAAATTTCGAAATCGTTGAAATTACCTCCTTATTAATGAAGTTTTGACTGTGTAAAAATTATCCTGACATTATAATCAAAAAGAGATGATATTTGACCAAAACCCATAATCATGGGTAGAGTGAACCGCTGCCAGTGTCTCTCTTTTCCAAACAAAAGGAAATGATATTAATTTGAGGAACCGTCCGCAAACGCAAATTGATACCGAGAAAGAAATCGGTCGCTCACTTTTCCCATTCATTCACGGCTTACGAATTGTAATAAAGCTTATTGAATGGGAAAAGCGAGCGACCGATTTCATTCTCGGTATCAATTTGCATTTGCGGACGGTTCCTCAAATTAATATCATTTCCTTTTGTTTGGAAAAGAGAGACACTGGCAGCGGTTCACTCTACCCATGATTATGGGTTTTGGTCAAATTTGATTAACAGTAATAGTGTAAAATAAAGGTAATACACTAGTCACACAACTACCTTCTCATAGTTAGAGTTAGTGATCAGAAACATGAAAGTAGCACTCCTGCTCAGTCTAGCGCTGACTGGTAGTTTTGTACAGTCGTACAATCTGTGGGATCAACTTGAGAACATATTTGATGACTATGATATGATCAAAAATGGAACAGGTATTTGGTTTGAATCACATTTTGTAAGATTTGGATTGATCAGGAATAGTGTTTGGGTTTTTATTTCAATGATTCAGAACATATCTATCATCAGTTTGAACTCTTTTCAAATTCAATTTGTGACCAATTCTCAGTAGTAACCACCAGTGACCACCAGTGACCACTAGTGACCACTAGTGACCGCTAGTGACCACCAGTGACCACTACTCAGTAGTGACTATTGAACACTAGTGACCACTACTAACCAACAGTGAACTCAAGTAAAGTGACACCATATTTCATCGTATCTATTTAATTTCAGTTTGGGATGTAGAGAAACAAAAGTACCAGTGTGATTCAGGTTACTTCGGTAAAGATGGGTTTCCTCCTTGTACTATCTGTGACTCTGGAACTTTCTGCGATATGGTATATATTTAACAAATTTAAGATATATTTAACAAATTTAACATATATCTAACAAATTTAACATATATTTAACATATTTAACGTAAAACACGTAACGTAACGTAAAACATCAGACCTCTCACCCTCTCAAACTGCTCCAGAAAATTACTGTCAATGATTACCCTAAAACGTATCCAAGGCAAGCTAGATCAGTACACCGGTCCTACACAAAGTGCTTACAAGAGAGGTAGAAGTTGTGGCGATATAATTTGGTCTCAACGTATGCTAACCTCAGTGGTACTTAGAAAGCATTGGAGCTACCACAGAATGAGTATAGACATGTCAAGTGCCTTTGACACCATCAGCAGAGAAACAGTACTCAATGTTCTTGAAGATGCTGGCTGTACTAGTGATGAAATTAGGATGGTACGGCTCCTACTATCAAACACAGTGTTGAAAGTAAAAGTCAATAATACTGTATCAATTGAGTTCCAAAGCACAACTGGAGCATTTCAAGGAGATGCACTATCAGGTAATCTATTTACTGTTGTTGAAGCCGCTGCACTTATTCACCTCAGATCTGTACTCTCCTAAGTATCATCAACACCTTACCCAGTGAATCATCCAATCCCTAATCCTCCTATCTCAGAAGAATTCATGCCACTCGAAACAGGATACTCTGATGATATTGACTTTAATAACACTGAACTTGCTCCACTCAAAGAAATGCTTCCTATCGCTAAAGATATATTCCAGCAGTGGGACCTTCATATCAATTCTTCCAAGACTGAATTTGTCCATTTTTATTTAGCAGATCCTAAACCCACTGTTAAACGCAAGGTGATTGTTGGAAAAGTGTATAGAGGTGATGAAGAGTGGCGCTCTAACAAAACTTTAGGATCGTTGATGTGCACTGTTAAGGACATCAAGAATCGAATATTCCTTGGTAATGTTGCCTTTAGGAAATTTCAGAAAGTTTGGATGAAGAGCAAGATTTCAGTCCAAAGGAAGATCAAAATCTACGAGGCACAAGTAGTCTCTATTCTACTCTACAACTGCAACTCCTGGGCTGCACCACTAGCTTCGTTGAATGAACTTGATATTGCTCATCGCAAACACCTCCGAAGAATCCTCAACATCAGATGGCCTACTGGGGTTATTTCTAATGAGGCACTCTATGCTCGTTGTTATGTCACTCCCTTGTCTGTGAGAGTCTCTAAGTTTCGATGGAGAATGTTAGGACATATCTTAAGAGGACAGGAAGACTCACCAGCATACACCTCTATGTTATTTGCTATAAATTCTGATATTTTTATGGAAGGGAGACGGGGTAGACCATGTTTAAACTTATTAGATGTTATTAGAAAAGACTTGACTAGTAGAAATCTTGATATTAGACTTAAGAATTTGACTGATTTCGAAGACCTTAGATTTTTAGCTTTAGATAGGGAGGAGTGGAAGAAGTTAGAAGATGGTTGATGTTTTTGTTTTCTTTTTTATGCGTTTTGATATCTATAAGGTGCCTAGGATGCTCTTTTAAAGAGATATTTCGTACTTTGAAAGATTTACTACTATTTAACGTAATATGTTTAACATATTTAACATATATTTACGAGATTGTTACTTGCTTTTCTTAGAGTTTGATGCTTGAACAGATGGGATAAGTACGTTAATGCTCTGAAAAGCATTTTAAGACCTTTTTCATCAAAGTTAAACGTAAACTAAAGTTTATGATTTTAATTAGCCAGCGTTATATCTCTACACTTATTGTCAGCTTATGACAAAAGATACTACAGTGAAGTTTTGACTTTTATTTATTTATTTTAAGGATAGATTATACTTGGACGTTGTTTTTAAACATCCCTAGTTTAGAACTTTTAATTAATAATAATAACATGTTATTTTCAGCGTGGGTGTACGGAATGTACACCGTGTCCAGCGGGAGAATATGCCGACAAGAAGGGAAACTATCAATGTTTCAAATGTCAAACTGGATATTACTCTGATAAAGAGGGTAAAATCATGAATTCTGATTTGTATAGATTGTAAAAAGCATAATACTCTTTCACAGGTTTGCAAAGATAAGCGAATTTGGAATTCACTGCCCTTACAGCTCTGTGCCATTTTAAGTCAAGTTTGATATTTCTCTTCAGGTGAAGCCCATTGTTCAAAGTGTCCCGGAGGTACCTTTTCCAGAAGGACAGGTTCTAAAAGTTGTGACGAGTGTCCCGCCGGAGAATTCAGGTTTTATTCTTCGATCCTTTAAGCGGGATTAATTTTATTCATGTTGCATTAACTTTAAGTGCCATTTCCCCCTATGTTTTATAATCGGATTTTCAGCTATGATTATGATAACACAAACTTTCAGCGACTACGCGGAGGCGTCTTCTGGCTGTGGGAAATGCCCGACTGGGACCTACAATCCTAAACCTGGTCAAGCTGAGGAGACGTCGTGTCTGCTCTGTCCTGCAGGACAGTACCAGTAAGTCTGATTTATGGAAATTATAACACTAACTCTTAAAATGTGCCCTGCTGAATCTATCGAAATTCCCTCTAAGAACTTAAATCGGGTCATTGAAATCTGTTATCAGGGGATCAATCACCAGGTCCTAAACTCTTCAAATAATAAAAACTATGCAGGGACTCAGTCGGTGAAACGGACTGTAACGCATGTCCTGAGGGGCGTTACGGCGACGAAGAGGGGCTCGGAGAATGTCACAACTGTACTGCTGGACACTTCCAGGTTAATTGTTGGGCATCTTACTTGAAATCTGGTTTGGTATCACGCTTGTTTTGCTCTGATCCGGTTTAGTGTTTGGCATATCATCCCGGCAGATTGCTCTGACTGCTGGTCTAATTAGTCCGGATATGAAAAGGCGATCCCTTATCAGTGCTAGTGATTAGATTCACCAAAAAAAATGGATTTCACAAAAAAAGTGTAGATGATTCAAAAAAAAATCGTAAATTTTCCTGAAAGATGATAATTGGTCAAGACTAACTTGCCTAAGAGGAAACAGAATGTGTTCAGCTAATTAACATGTCGCCTACTGGCTACTTGTTGTTGTAAGCACTTCTCCTCAGGATGAGACAGGACAAACGGTATGTCAGGAATGCCCGATTGGTCAGTACACTGATTCAGAAGGATCTAAAGCCTGTTCGTCATGTGACGAGGGTCACTTTGCTGACACTACCGGTGAGAGACAGCTAGTTTACATGATAATTAGCTAGATGAGATTTGTATTTATTTGTTAGGGAGCGTGATGATATTAGGGAGCGATAAAGGATGATGGTAATACATTTTAGTGATGCTTCGTGATATTAAAACTATCTGAGTATCTAGAAGGAAACATAATGTACCTGATCAGGTATAAAAGCTACTGATCAGTGATCAGTAGCTTTTATAAGATGGAGATCATCCACATCATCATCACAGATCCTCATCACAGATCATCATCACAGATCATCATCACAGATCATCATCACAGATCATCACCACATATCATCATCACAGATCATCATCACAGATCATTACCACAGATCATCATCACAGATCATCAACACAGATCATCAACGTCACCAGTCACTACTGAGCTTAAATTAGAAATGACATTTGATAGCAACTCTTATAAGCTACTCAGCTACATTCTAGCTACTCAGCTACATAAAATGGTAATTAGATCCTTATGCAGGGACCACCCGTATTTACATTCAGTATACGAGATCATGGGGACAGGTTCTATAGAAAAAAAGAGATCCTAATCTTATTTTACATCCAGGAACCATTGAGTGCAAATCATGTCCGGCTGGAGAGCATCAGAAGGACACTGGTGCAAGCTCTTGTGATGCCTGTGAAATCGGTACGAATGATTCTCTTTATTTTCTCAAGAACTTTTTTTCGTATCGCTCTTTGCTCAGCTCAAATTAATATAACTCTGGAAGAAGTTTATTTCTCAGAATCAATTAAATTATGATGGGACTTCACAGGGGAATATCAAGACAAGACGGGTCAAGCCAGGTGTTACCAATGCAATCAAGGAACTTACCAGAACGAAACAGGACAAGCTAGTTGTGTGGAGTGTGCCCAGGGGACAGCTCAATCTGATGCCGGACAAGCTAAATGCACTGACTGTGGCCCTGGACAGTTTGGTGATCAATCTGGGCAGGTACAAATTACAATCACGGCACTTTTTTGTTTTGTTTTTTATCGACATCTCGCGGTTTCTTGCGGTTGATCAGACCACTTACGCTCTAGAAAAAGTCACTTTTTACGGTAATTGAAGAATGTGCTTACCATTTAACAACCATTTATTTGGAGCCTGTCTGGATTGGTCAGTGACTGTTCTTTAACAAGTATACAGTTTAGTTTTACAATCAACCATTGAAAACTATTAAAGTAGTTTTAAAGTAACTACTTTAAGATTATTAGCAATTACCTAGTATCTAATAGTTTCCAGCTCAAGAAGTTCTCCACTATTTTGGATTACATTAAACCAAAAACCAATTTACAGTCTCTCCTCTCAGCTGTACTGTGGAAACTGTGAAGCAGGTACCTTCTCTGACGGAACCCAAAACACAGGATGTACCAACTGTGCTGCCGGAACTGCTAACAACAATACTGCAGCTAGCTCGTGTTCTCTGTGTGAACCAGGTTTGTTTTATCAGCCACTCTTGTGCTACCAACAATACTGCAGCTAGCTCTTGTTCTTTGTGTGAACCAGGTTTGTTTTATCAGCCACTCTTGTGCTAACAACAATACTGCAGCCAGCTCTTGTTCTTTGTGTGAACCAGGTTTGTTTTATCAGCCACTCTTGTGCTACCAACAATACTGCAGCCAGCTCTTGTTCTTTGTGTGAACCAGGTTTGTTTTATCAGCCACTCTTGTGCTACCAATAATACTGCAGCCAGCTCTTGTTCTTTGTGTGAACCAGGTTTGTTTTATCAGCCACTCTTGTGCTACCAACAATACTGCAGCCAGCTCGTGTTCTCTGTGTGAACCAGGTTTGTTTTATCAGCCACTCTTGTGCTACCAACAATACTGCAGCCAGCTCGTGTTCTCTGTGTGAACCAGGTTTGTTTTATCAGCCACTCTTGTGCTACCAACAATACTGCAGCCAGCTCTTGTTCTCTGTGTGAACCAGGTTTGTTTTATCAGCCACTCTTGTGCTACCAACAATACTGCAGCCAGCTCTTGTTCTTTGTGTGAACCAGGTTTGTTTTATCAGCCACTCTTGTGCTACCAACAATACTGCAGCCAGCTCTTGTTCTTTGTGTGAACCAGGTTTGTTTTATCAGCCACTCTTGTGCTACCAACAATACTGCAGCCAGCTCTTGTTCTTTGTGTGAACCAGGTTTGTTTTATCAGCCACTCTTGTGCTAACAACAATACTACAGCCAGCTCTTGTTCTCTGTGTGAACCAGGTTTGTTTTATCAGCCACTCTTGTGCTACCAACAATACTGCAGCCAGCTCTTGTTCTTTGTGTGAACCAGGTTTGTTTTATCAGCCACTCTTGTGCTACCAACAATACTGCAGCCAGCTCTTGTTCTTTGTGTGAACCAGGTTTGTTTTATCAGCCACTCTTGTGCTACCAATAATACTGCAGCCAGATCTTGTTCTTTGTGTGAACCAGGTTTGTTTTCATCAGCCACTCTTGTGCTACCAACAATACTGCAGCCAGCTCTTGTTCTTTGTGTGAACCAGGTTTGTTTTATCAGCCACTCTTGTGCTACCAATAATACTGCAGCCAGATCTTGTTCTTTGTGTGAACCAGGTTTGTTTTCATCAGCCACTCTTGTGCTACCAACAATACTGCAGCCAGCTCTTGTTCTTTGTGTGAACCAGGTTTGTTTTATCAGCCACTCTTGTGCTACCAATAATACTGCAGCCAGATCTTGTTCTTTGTGTGAACCAGGTTTGTTTTATCAGCCACTCTTGTGCTACCAATAATACTGCAGCCAGCTCTTGTTCTTTGTGTGAACCAGGTTTGTTTTATCAGCCACTCTTGTGCTACCAACAATACTGCAGCCAGCTCGTGTTCTCTGTGTGAACCAGGTTTGTTTTCATCAGCCACTCTTGCTGTTGGGCGTTATCGCTGGTTATGTAATTTCCAAAGGTCATTTAACCGTAGACGTAGGAAAACATGCAAAATATGCAAGATATGCAAGCTATATGCAAAATATGCAAAATATGGACATCAGCCAAGAAAGATATTAGTATCAGTGGGGCCTCTGTTCCTACCTGATAACACTTTCTTATCAGGTGCCCACGCTAGTGATACCGGGTCCAAAGTTTGTGATTTATGCTACGCTGGCGAGTACGCAGCTGAGAGTGGAACTGTCAACTGTAGTCCCTGTGACACTGGCCACTTCTCGAATTCTTCAGGTAATTTATCGGTAAAATTTGCAAAAGCACTGTAGAAAAATATGCGAAAATATGCAATAACATTATAGAAAAATATGCGAAAATATGCAATAACATTGTATGTCTATTCTAGCAGTACAGGAGTAAGATTTCATGATTCACTTGATTGTGATTGTGAAACTCCTGAAGATAGGGAAGATAGGGAAGATTAAAAGTTAGATTAAAACTCCGTATCAAACTATACAATTATTCCGAAACTAAGCCCAAAGTGTGTGGTACTCTTTAGCTACAACCCCCTCTTTTTCAGGCAGTTTATCCTGTTACAGCTGCACTCCGGGACACTATGCTGACACCGTCAACTCTACTTCATGCGCGTCTTGTGAGTCAGGATACGTTGCCCAGTACCCCGCTGCTGATATTTGTGATGCCTGTAATGCTGGTAAGTGCTTGTGATTCCTGTAATAGTGGTAGTGCTTGTGATGCCTGTGATAGTGGTAGTACTTGTGATGCCTGTAATGGTGGTAAGTGCTTGTGATCCTAATTGAGTTTATTGCGAAAAGCGGTAGGAACCTGTTGTATCCAATGCCATTATGCCTGCATTTATAGTACAGCCATAAACCAAACCTGATAGTAAGCTTGCCTTGCGTCTTGTCACTATGACTAAGTTAGATTAATAACAACAATATGTTGTTCAAGATAAACAACATATTTCCTTTCTAATTTATCCATTCATAATACTTCAGGAACCTTCAGCAACGACAAAGCTACTAACTGTGTAGCTTGTCCTAGAGGAAAGTATAACGATCTGCCCCACCAAGCAGTTTGTAAGGATTGTGCGGCTGGCTCTTTTGCTAATATGGTACGTTAAAGTTGCGATGTAGGGGTTTCAGGGAGAAACTTTTTAAACTTTTTACTGTGTGGCTTTCTTAATTTCTTCGCTAAATTTTCGATTGCGTTTGTTAGTATAAGGTAACAAACGTTATTCGTACACTTCTATAGATCTATAGTGAATCACAAAATATAAACTTGTGTTTCAAAAAATAAGGTATCAGCGAGTAAGGTCTTCAATACATTAGTGTAATAACATAACAAATATTCAGACTGGACTGAAAATCTGTTACCCGTGCTCGGCGGGGACCTACCAGGACGAGGAGAAAGCGAAGGAGTGTAAAGCCTGTAGCCCAGGAAGTTCCCAAGCAGATGAGGGGAAAAAGTCTTGTGATAGCTGTGATTTTGGTTTGTAATTGAGTAATTGGTTTGTAATTTGTTTATACCGGTTCAAAACTTTTGCGTGATCAGCAACTCGTGGTTTCTTTAATTGTAATTCAGTTAGTTTACCAACCACAAAATTAAAAAACACATTTCCATGGCAATAAAAATTGTTGAGGTCAAACTTTCAACGAAGATCCTAGATCACTCAGAACTTGGAATATTAACAGCTGAAAACACCACAGGACACGCCCAGAGCAAGTCAGCACAAAAGGAATGTGATGCTTGTGAAGTGGGACACTTCGCTAACGTAACTAGGTTAGAGGTTTGTTACGCTTGTGATGCAGGAAGCTTTGGAGCTTCACCTGGACTGTCAGGTAATTTAATCTGTCGTTTAACTGAAATGTTAATTTAAGTAAAAAGTATATTCAAACTTTGAATAGTATCATTTGCATGATTTTTGTTGAAACAGTAACAAAATGAAATTGAGAAAATATTGAATTTAGCAGATATTTTATGCATTACGTTTATCTTATGCAGAGTGTACGCTGTGCGAAAAAGGAACTTACAATCCTGACGAAGCTCAAGCTTCTTGCTTAGACTGTGATGCTGGTACACAAGGAGGTAAATTAAAATTAAATTAAATAAATTGAAATAATTTAAAAAAAGCAAATTATGAATAAAATTTGGCTGTTTCACTGAGTATATTATTATGTATATAAATAATTTGACCAAAACCCATAATCATGGGTAGAGTGAACCGCTGCCAGTGTCTCTGATCTTTTCCAAACAAAAGGAAATGATATTAATTTGAGGAACCGTCCGCAAATGCAAATTGATACCGAGAATGAAATCGGTCGCTCGCTTTTCCCATTCAATAAGCTTTATTACAATTCGTAAGCCGTGAATGAATGGGAAAAGCGAGCGACCGATTTCATTATCGGTATCAATTTGCATTTGCGGACGGTTCCTCAAATTAATATCATTTCCTTTTGTTTGGAAAAGATCAGAGACACTGGCAGCGGTTCACTCTACCCATGATTATGGGTTTTGGTCAAATATCATCTCTTTTTGATTATAATGTCAGGATAATTTACAAAGTCGAAACTTCATTAATAAGGAGGTAATTTCAACGATTTCGAAATTTTACCTTTGAAAACGTTTCCTTGTGTTTAGGTAGGTATATCTGTCGATAACAGACTGAATATGGCACTTTTTATTCATTCAAGTTGGCATTTAATTCATATATAATGCCATTTAAATATCGTGGGAAAGCAGAATATATTCGATATCACGAATGAGCAAAATTCTCACCTTTCGCACGTACAAACTTTGAGCGGACGTTGCGTGCGCATACAATATTGAATCGCCGTAAAATTTTGCATAGTGGTATTTAATATATAGTTTAATAAGCATGCAAAGTTTCAGAAGATTTCAACAAGAACTTGAATCACAACGGGACTCCAAAGTTGATAAAAATCGTGAAAATAACAATTTTCAGTGATATAAGCTATTTTAAATCAATTTGGGCGTGTCCCCACGTGTGCAACTTTTCGATTTTTAACTTTAAAACTAGTCTATAACACAATTTAGACCTTTAGGAAGCAAAATTGAGCTCCACAACCCAAGGGATGGTCCAACACCAGAGAATACTAATTCACAACTTTTGTGTTTTTATAAAATTATTCTTCAAAAAAGCACTAACTTCAATAGCGAATATCTTTATGAAGGAGTAAGGTAGGAAACTTTTCCGGTAGATTTTCAGAATGCTTGAACAATTATCTAAGATGAAAATGTCCTCAGATTTTGAATAAAATTACTTTTTAATGGTGTAATATCGATTTGAAAAGTTGTTACTTTGTCAAAAATCAAGTTTTAAAAACACTTAAATTGATGACGTCATCAAGTGATGATGATGACGATAAATTATTTTTCAATATAGTGTAAACTAAAGTATAAACAATTATCTTTAAAACCTGTGGTTCGAAATGACTGTATCTTTTATACTTTTGAATCTACGGACACTTAAATGTAGGCTACAATTTACTGCAAAAGCGTCTATACATATATACATCACAATGCTGGCAAGCATAACCGTTGCCCTTATATTCACAACACTATGTACCCCCTATACTATTATATCCCCTTTATTGTTTTCCAGGCATTAAGACTCATCGAAAGTAGTTCAGCAGGTATATTTAAGTTCAAAACATTCTAATTCAATGTTAAAGATGACAGGAATAAGAAATAGTTATGTGGAGGTTTTTAGGAAATTTTCGCAAAATACGCGCCAGCATGTTATACGAAATTAGGTAAAAAACCCAAAATCGCCATATTCAGGTGCCTTAAAAACCATGTTAGTTAGAGTTAGAGATCTGAAACTTTGCAGAGCGTCTAGACCTTGTCCAAATCGACTGTAAAAAAAATTTCATGTTGCAGGAGTATCGGGAAGTGGGTTTTCTGGAACCCCTGTTTTACAACAGATTGTCGTGAAGCTATATATATATATATATATATGTATAGACGCTTTTGCAGTAAATTGTAGCCTACATTTAAGTGTCCGTAGATTCAAAAGTATAAAAGATACAGTCATTTCGAACCACAGGTTTTAAAGATAATTGTTTTTACTTTAGTTTACATTATATCGAAAAATAATTTATCGTCATCATCATCACTTGATGACGTCATCAATTTAAGTGTTTTTAAAACTTGATTTTTGACAAAATAACAACTTTTCAAATCGATTTTAAAGCATTAAGGAGTATTTTTATTCAAAATCTGAGGACATTTTCACCTTAGATAATTGTTCAAGCATTCTGAAAATCTACCGGAAAGTTTTCCTACCTTGCTCCTTCATAAAGATATTCGCTATTGAAGTTTGTGCTTTTTTGAAGAATAATTTTATAAAAACACAAAAGTTGTGAATTAGTATTCTCTGGTGTTGGGCCATCCCTTGGGTTGTGGAGCTCAATTTTGCTTCCTAAAGGTCTAAATTGTGTTATAGGCTAGTTTTAAAGTTGAAAATCGAAAAGTTGCACACGTGGGGACACGCCCAAATTCATTTAAAATAGCTAAAATCACTAAAAATTGTTATTTTCACGATTTTTACCAACTTTGGAGTCCCGTTGTGATCCAAGTTCTTTTTGAAATCTTCTGAAACTTTTCATGCTTATCAAACTATATATTAAATAACACTATGCAAAAATTTATGGTGATTCAATATTTTATGCGCACGCAACGTCCGCTCAAAGTTTGCACGTGCGAAAGGTGAGAATTTTGCTCATTCGTGATTTCGAATATATTCTGCTTTCCCACGATATTAAAATGGCATTATATATGAATTTAATGCCAACTTGAATGAGTAAAAAGTGCTATATTCAGTCTGTTATTGACAGATATGCCTACCTAAACACAAGGAAACGTTTTCAAAGGTAAAATTTCGAAATCGTTGAAATTACCTCCTTATTAAGTTTCGACTGTGTAAATTATCCTGACATTATAATCAAAAAGAGATGATATTTGACCAAAACCCATAATCATGGGTAGAGTGAACCGCTGCCAGTGTCTCTCTTTTCCAAACAAAAGAAAATGATATTAATTTGAGGAACCGTCCGCAAATGCAAATTGATACCGAGAATGAAATCGGTCGCTCGCTTTTCCCATTCATTCACGGCTTACGTATTGTAATAAAGCTTATTGAATGGGAAAAGCGAGCGACCGATTTCATTCTCGGTATCAATTTGCATTTGCGGACGGTTCCTCAAATTAATATCATTTTCTTTTGTTTGGAAAAGAGAGACACTGGCAGCGGTTCACTCTACCCATGATTATGGGTTTTGGTCAAATATTATATACTATACTTCACGACAATCTGTTGTAAAACAGGGGTTCCAGAAAACCCACTTCCCGATACTCCTGCAACATGAAATTTTTTTTACAGTCGATTTGGACAAGGTCTAGACGCTCTGCAAAGTTTCAGATCTCTAACTCAATTTTAACATGGTTTTTAAGGCACCTGAATATGGCGATTTTGGGTTTTTTACCTAATTTCGTATAACATGCTGGCGCGTATTTTGCGCAAATTTCTTAAAAACCTCCACATAACTATTTCTTATTCCTGTCATCTTTAACATTGAATTAGAATGTTTTGAACTTAAATATACCTGCTGAACTACTTTCGATGAGTCTTAATGCCTGGAAAACAATAAAGGGGATATAATAGTATAGGGGGTACATAGTGAACTGTGAATATAAGGGCAACGGTTATGCTTGCCAGCATTGTGATTACGTTTTAAATAGCGCTAATCTTCATTGAATTTATTTCCAAGTTTTTCACAACCCTGATATTTTACGAGCCAAGAAATTTATTTCTATTGATTTTTGGAGCTGAAGATATTTTAGTTTTTACCGCATTGGCTTTTCACCGCAATTACGCCTACTCCTATTTAATATATTTTCAGAAAACAAAGGAATGCTAAAATGTGACAACTGTACGCCGGGATATTTCCAAGACCTACCAAGTAAATCAGTGTTTTAACAAAATATTTTACTTCATAATTTTTTGATGTGCAATTATGGGGAAGAGTTTATTGAACAAGAATGAGCACTTGTTAACGAAGCTGTTACTGCTCTAGCCACTCAATTTGTAAATTAATCTATTCATTGGTTAATTTAATGATATATAACAAATCTTATCTTTACAGAACAAACTGAGTGTAAGCCGTGTAGTAAGGGACATTTCAACAATGAAGATAAGGCGACCGAGTGTCAATCATGTAAAGCAGGCACATACGACAGTAAGTACAGTGGTCACAGTGGTCACAGTGGTCACAGTGGTCACAGTGGTCACAGTGGTCACAGTGGTCACAGTGGTCACAGTGGTCACAGTGGTCACAGAGAAACAAATTTTAAGTTCTATAAAAAATAAATGATACCATCATTATTATAAGAATTATCAAACATAGTATTATAACATTTTGAAATTGCAGACGGAGTTGCTGCAACGGAATGTTTAGAATGCCCAACTGGTCATTTCAGCAACGTGGAAGGTAAACAGCACAATTAATTTTAAAACAAATCATGCTTTAGGACATAACTAATTAGTAATTAACGACTACTTTATCACTAGACACGAATAAGATGAATTCCACTTCTATCGTTGTACAAGTCACAAGACAGCTACTTTTAGTCATTTAACCGGCACCATATCTCACCACTAATTCCCACCTACTACAGCGGCCGCTACCTGCAAGTCATGCAGTGCGGGTTTGTACCAAAATGAAACTGGTCAGCAAACATGCAAAGACTGTCCTGTGGGACACTTTTCTGATAGCAACGGAGCCGCAGAATGTCAATCCTGTGCTGAAGGTAACTTTCCTCTGATAAATTTCAAAAAGTCAGAACAACCATAATTATTTGCTTTTCCTGTGATTCAATTGTAACAAAGTTACAGTTTTGATGAGGAATCAAACTGTTATAATACTCATCTCTATGTCCAACAACATAACCCCTCCCTCCCGTATCACATGTACCCCCCTCCTCAGGTCAGTTCCAGCCAAGTGAAGGTATGACAGAGTGTTATAACTGTGCTAAGGGGAGGTACATCAACGAAACAGGCTCTACAGCCTGCAAGAAGTGCCCTACTGGCACCCATGGTATGATTACAAAATGTTTATTTTTGTGAAATTAACACAATTATCTGATCAAAATAATGCTTCTCTTAGTGCAGATGATAAAGTTACAGATTTTATCACACAACTTACAAGTTACATATCAAAGCTGCCTTTATGTTTTACGCTAGATCTGGATATCTATTAATCTATTACTTATTCAGTTATCATTAATAAATTGATAAATTGATTGACTTATTCATTGATTGACTTATTAATTTATTGACTTATTAATTTATTGACTTATTAATCTCACCTAGCTCCCAAATCTGGAATGGCTAACTGTGATGATTGTCCCCCGGGAACGTTCGACGATGATCAAACTGGGTCAATAAACTGTGCTAGCTGTGCTAAGGGACACTACAATGACAAGCCAAGTAGGTGTTGTTGTTGTGTAGTTTGGGATAGAAGGGTAGAATGTTCATTGTTCATCCATCAGTAAGCCATGTTATGCCTATGGTCTTATATGCTTGAAATTATTGAAACCATTAACCATCTCAATAGGATTATTCCCACTGTGCGATTTTAGTATGATCAAGGGGATCCGAATTATAAATACCTTGATTAAGATAATTCATCACGTGTCAACTCAGAGATTTATTGTCTCGCTTTCCCAGGACAAACAGAATGCAAGGAATGCTTAGCAGGAACATTTGCTAATGCCACAGGACAGGCCAACTGTTACGAATGTGAGCTGGGAACTGCTACTGACAAAACCGGCCAAGAGGATTGTCCAGCTTGTGACCCAGGTATTTAGTGATTGATCACGTGCCATTGATTGAGTATGTATTGGAATTCGAAATAGAGCCATAGCTATGCCAGAAAATATTACGTAAGCCTAAAATTTACAGCATAATGTAAATTTAAGATTCATCTAATTGCAGGTTATTTCGCCGGTACTAAAGCGTCCACAGTTTGTTCTGAGTGTGACACTGGCAGCTACAGGTTTGGTAACTAGTTCTATTTATTTTTCTCCTAATAATATTTTCTCCTAATGTAAACAGAATCTAGAGCTTATTATTTGTTTGCGACTGTATCGTCATACATCAACATGATGCTTTAAAGGGTAATATTGCGAAGGGATACAATCCCCATTTACAATTAATCACCCACATATCTTCACTGTTTGATTAAATTGTTCTTACAACATTTAGTTAAAGTTTCAACTGCCAAACTTTAAAACTAACAATTAAATGATTAATAATAATTAATTGATTAAATTATTCAGTGCTGAGAGTGGTAGTCCTACCTGCACTCCCTGCTCCCCGGGTTCCTCCAACGATAAGAAAGCTCAGAAGGAGTGTCAGGAGTGTGCGGGTGGTGCCCATTCTAGTGATCCTGGCGCTGTGAACTGTGACCTGTGCCTTGCTGGAACTTTCTCTGTTAGTGTATTTTAGTTACTTATTTATTTAGTTATTTATTTATTTAGTCATTACTTAGTTAGAGTTGTGACGTGCAGATTGCTGGGAGTTTCGCTGTTTACCTAATAATAATTTTAATTTGTAAAGTTCGTAGATTCCTCTACAGGGTCATCGAATAGTTCGACCGCCCTTGTTTTACAGTAAACTACATTGTAGATGTTCTGAAGGAGTATCATAAGATTCTTGATCTTTTGGCACAGGCACCCCTCCTCATTTAACCCTCAATCAAGTTTCCTATCATTCGGCTGAGTCGACCGAGGAGATCGCATAGATCCAATGAATCCTTAGCTACTCCCTAGACTGGGTGATACTGGGATTCGAACCCTTAACCTTCTGTACAGAAGGCGGAAGCTCTAACCACTTGGCCACCCACCTATTAGTTATTTTGTTAATTAATTATGAGCTATTTGAATAGTTAAATATGATTTACTGTAATACTCTGTTTGTTATAATATACATGATTTAGTTAATAAGCTAAGTAGTCGTTTGTTCGTCAGAGACTTGATGTTTAGAGATTATTAATAAGTTAACAGTGATAGTAGTGTTGAGCAAAATACTCTTGCTCAACTTCTTAAATTCCTCTGCTTATCATTGATAACGTATCTCCCAATGCAGGCTGAAGGAGCTCAGGATTGCACAAACTGTCCTAAAGGAAAAGTCAACACGAAATCCGGAGAATCACAGTGCTACAACTGTTCCCATGGTAAATAACACAATACAAATGGTCGTTAATTCTGAATCCTACTTTCAAAGAAATAATTTTGTATTTGAAGAGGCGTTTCCTGGAAGAGGTGTTCCTCAATCATTTGAGTGCACTAGAGTAAGTCAAACAACTCTTGTCAGTAGTCAGGCCAGTTTAAGGCGTGGCATGTTTAACAAATGATGGCTCAGACAATTTCTATGGTAAGACCATTAGTTTAACACTTTTCAATCCATCGTAAGTCAGTCAGACTACCCTGACTGAATAGTAGTTAAGTTATTTCCATATGGAACGTTGCTCGCAGCCAGGAATTTATTATTAAACCGATTGATGGTGATCATGTAGACATGAACACGACGTACCTCGAGGCGACCCGTTTGAGACTCGACTAGTTTAGGCTTTTTACGTCCATCCACAAGGGAGTATCACCTATAGCAGATTAAAATAATGTTAATAACTATATTTATAAATATATAATATATTAACATTATTTTAATCTGCTAGGTGATACTCCCTTGTGGAATCGTGGATGGCCGTAAAAGATACAAAAAGATACGTCGTTTTAATGTCTATACAAGATCACTATCAATCTTAACACTAGTTTATCTTCGGCGACTGTGGCTGAGTACAATCATCACTAACTTAACCATTTCGTATAAAACGTCAGCTAGCGCTAATCATGTTTATCAGACTGACTTAAGTCAGCGTATATGATTTACTAATTGGTAGACCAACATCTTTAAGTTTAATATCTAAGTGCCTGTCAAGGTGAACCCCCCGATATTATCCTCACTGCAAGTGTTAGTTTAACAGAGAATCTGGGAGAGGCGCTGGGAGAGGCGCTGTTCAGACTAACCTTGTGTCTGAATAAAATTTAATTATCATTCAAGGGCGACTGTTGAAGTAGTTACAGTTATATAACGTCCCATATCGAATTAGACAATATAGAATCCCAGTATGCATACTGAGACTGCAGACTATTTGGTTAAACTTTAAAGATGTCAACAAGCTCTCCATTTTAACATTTTTTTGTTTTTAATGACATGTATGTTAGGCCTTAGGCCTAGGCAATCACAAAACTCTCAAGTTTTCGCGATAGAATATGACTTATTTTCCTGGAGCAACATTATAGCTGATAAACATGAAACTACTAGCACAAACTAGGCAAACGTCGAATTGTCATTGTGAGGTTTGCTATGACCGGTTGTAGAATTATGCCGATAAATTTAATCGTTTGCATAAATCAGTAAGCATAAACACTAGACAGCCATTTAATAGACCACGGTAACGTCGTTGTTCGTTAAAAATTACCTAAGATTTATTGATACGGATTGTTCAATTAATAGCCGGTTTGGTAGCTATAAATTCATCAAATTGTGAAAATACAGGTTACTTCTAAGTTATGACTACTAATTCACAACACCTCCAGGATTATTTAACGACCAAGAAGGACAGACCGCGTGTGAAGACTGTCCGTCCGGACTCGACACCGAGTACCCTGGAGCCACATCCGAGGACCTCTGTACCTTCCATTACTGTCTGGCCGGATACTCGGGGGAACCCTGGAACTGTGAACCTTGCCAACCAGGGAGTTACTCTGCTAAGGGTAACATGACCACGTGTGATAGGTGTGATTACGGGGAGTACCAGGCTCAGGCACGGAGTACTGAGTGTGATAGTTGCACGTGAGTAAAGTGTTCAGTATTTACAGTATCTACAGTTGGATCTATTTTATCTGACCGGATATTGCGTGAACGTCCGTTCAAATAATGTCCGATAAGGTAGATACAATTTTATATAATGTAATGGTCAGTAAGTAGGGATCACAAGTGTTATAAGTTACGGGGTTATATTGTGTAGCATGTTTATTTGGTAGACTCCCATACCGAAGCTGCATGGCACACCTCGCTATTAGTCCTAAGAGTTACCTTTTAGGGCTAGGAGGGGTGATGTTTTCAACTGTGATTGGAAAATATCATGGATAAAGGAGTATATAATTTGGGAAACACGTTCGTGAGATGTTTAATCAATATTCACTTTCTGTTGCTTATTTCTCTGCTGATAAAATTATTGCAGGCGCTTCTTCGACCGTCTCCATACCGATAAAGTTCCTTGATTAGCTTAATCCTTCGGTTATAGTAACCACCCAGTTTCAATTGTATAATAAGTAGAGTATGAGACACACTTTGATACCAAATAAGTTGTTGTAATTCCCAAAAATTCTCAAAGAAAGTTTGAACTTTAACCCTAATACTTTAGTGCTACCCAAGTTCTCATTAAAAACAATCACGCTGCAATACCTGACCGTGGTGGCAGCTTTTTTTTGGAAACTGACTCAACCCCAACTATTCAACCCTTAGACGGTCGTTACATATACTGAAAGTATTCTTAGCTCCCACACCGTCTATTTAGTGATATACTATCCAGCAACTACTGCTTCATCCGACAAGACACCCTCCATTTCCGTCTATTCATAGCCTAGATGGGACAACCCTATAGCGATAAAAGTGGGACGAAATTAGAAGTCGTTAATTAGAGCTAATTAGAGCCGTCAAAAAAGCACACGGGGACCATGTTAACTTGTTAAGTAGACTGTGGCTGCCAATTATAATAAGGGTGGGGAGCGGTGTTTAACGTGCCCGGACTTGTTTAAACCTGCTTGCGGGTATGAGTTAGTTTGTCTCGGTCTGGGATAAGAGTTTTATAGACGCCGTTTATTTATGCCCTTATAAGGTAATGGGAATGGAGGGGGGTAATGATGGATTATAGAATTTAATATGTGTTGGTGATGAGGAAATATATTTTTAGGTACCCTCAAACAACTTACGGGAGAGGATCTAAGGAGGCTAGTGACTGTGAAGGGCCCGGTTTGGCTTTTACCCTTAACAAAGGTATATACCGCTGAATATTTTTCTTTGGTAATGTTTACGTCAGAAAGTGCGTTATTTACAGATTAAATATGTGAATGTTATTTATTCCCAAAGCAAAGTAGCGTTTCTCTTGAATATAAAAGGCTTTTAGTTTTAAATGTTTTTAAAGCACGACCATGCTTAATGCTTATAACTCCAAGTATCTAATAATATTCTTTAATTTTGTATGATTATTTACTGCAGCCACCAAGAAAAACGTCATCGATAGTAAGCCTACAGGCTTTAAAAAAGTGGTCAAAGTTGAAAACCAAAAGGGAGAATGGATATTTTACCCAGAGGAAAATTATCAAGGTTGGTACAAAATAAATCATTTCATTATATAGATAGTGTAAACATGCAGATTGCAGAAATACTAAGACCTCAAAAAGACTAATAAGACAAAAAACTAATGATTATCTTCGTTCTGGATCCTTTGATAGCAATAACAGCAATGATAATTAAATGAGCTGCTGTTTTGGTAGTGAATGAAGCTCTTTTAAAGAATATTTCACTTTCACCAGGTGATGCAGTGACTGTTCTCGAGGGAGAAAGTTTCACTAAAGGTGACGGTGGCAACAAGACTGAGCAGGTCTTAGCAGCCAAGTCTTACTACGCTGTATTCCCCAACGTCTTTTGTTATCTACAGGTAATTAATTAATTAATTAAACAGGCTTAAATTAATCAATTAATTAAATAAGCTCCTGAAACGTTAGATTATCTTCAGACTGGAGTGTAAAATTCGCAAAGATTTGTTAGATGTAGGAGTAAACAACTCAATCCTGGATATAGTGTAATAACTAATAAGACCTTTTTCATCTTGTGATTTGATTTTGTAATTATAATTTAGGATTACGCTCATGAGTACAAAGGTAGTCGGTCGAGGGATATGCTTGGAAACGAGTGTAAAAACTCCACAGGTATTGAAACAAACAAATAAAACATGTTTTTAACTATTTTAATCTAAAACACCCATCATCAATCACTCAAAACGATCTTTTCCAATTATTCCTCAAAACATTCCTTGAAATGTTCCAAAAACCCCTAAACTCTTCCCCTCTAAAAACCCCCACTAAAAACACCTGTCGCTATCAAAAACCCTCACTGTTCAGGCGCTGGGGTTTGTTTCGCTGATGATGACTCTGAAGCTCCAAATTGCTACATTGCTGATGGTAAACTGTCACCTTGCGGTATCCCTAAATGTATCTGGGACTACGAGTGTTACTCTCAAAACGGTAATAAGTAGTATTTTCACTGATTATTTGTTATACAAATATTAAATAGTATGTTTCCAAACTACCCTGAAGACAGTCAGAGGTTAATAATTATGATATTTTATTCTAACAAACACTTTTACCCTATAATGGAGGATCGAATTAATTAATTGTGATATCTTCTCTTTTAGGGGTCAATTACAGAGGAGACGAAACTACAATAAACGCAACAAAATCGTCCTATATGATTTTTACGAAGCATTTTAACTGTACTTGCCAGGTAAGGATTTAATTTGTGGGTCATGATGTTGCAAGGAGAGTTTGTCCTAAAGTTAATATGAACCTTGCAAACACAGGTTTAAATTTATTTTCCAAGTTCTCTGTTTTTGGACACCAACTTTATCATGGACTTTAGATATAAACTAGAAGTAGCAAGAGTGTAATTATATAAGCTTTAATACACAGTTTACAATAATTTGCGATATTTGATATGATCTAGAATAAATGTAACATTTAATTAATATTAATTGATAATAGCATTTTTTAATTAATGATATCTCGATCTTATTGAAATAAATTTGCAGTCATGGAACGATGACTTCCCGACTAAGCATCCTGGTACTCATCCACGAGATCCGGGGATGGAAAAATATGGACTTCGAAGTGTTTACTGCAGGTTTATTTATAAAATATTTTCTTTGATCATGTATTTACTACCTTCGTGATTATTTTTATGTTCTAATTTGAGATATTTGAATACTATAAAATTCCAAAAGCAAAGTTGGTGGTCGAAATTTAGTTATTTCAATAGCCCTCTGTAAAAATTTATATTTTTTTAACTTCCATAAGTTAAAATTTATTTTTATTTTAGGAATCGATACCCAAACAAAATATTTTTTAACTTTGAGTTTTAACTTTAAGTTTAAACTATTTATATTTTAGGAATCCTGACCCCACCAAGATATTTTCTTTGGTCACGTGATCATGATCATTTCCATATTCTAATTTAAGATATTTGAGTACTATAACAATTCCAAAAGCTAAGTAGGAGGTCGAAATTTAAATATTTTAACAGCTTCCTCTAAACACTTTTATTTTTTAACTTTAAGTTAAAAACTATCTTTATTTTAGGAATCCAGACCCCACCAAATACTCGAAGCCATGGTGTTACGTAGGTGTCGGTCAGAAACATGATGATTGTGAAACTTTCGCTAAAACGACCCCAAGTGAAGTATGCCCGTATACGAAGAAATGCACAACAGAAAAATACTATACTCAAGCTGAAGGCAGAATCTGAGAGGATTATAAAATTGTTTAATCGAGGTATTCTTCATTCGAACCTGACAGTATTTTTGAATTTTTTGAGCGACCTCACCCAGTTCCTCGGCTCAAATGTTTTTTGTTATTTATATAACTATATATATATGCATGTTTTGTTTTAAAAATATAATTTTTGTTTTGAAATTTGAATATTGATTTTTGTAAATTTGTAATACCAAACGATGATAATTGAATTTTAATAAGAAAAATATTTTAATGGTTTATTCAAATATCAATTCTAAGATTATTAAAATGGAATAGATAAGTCAAATACGTGCTCATGCAACTATCCTACGATATAAACTATATAAACTATATATATACAAAACTATATAAACTATCGGAGGGCCCATGCTTGTACAGGAGTTACATCTGCACTCGATATCTGTGTTTTGGTGAACCACGAGTCATTAATGATTACATAAATTTTAAGTATTTTGCATAGTAAACTAGCTTGCAAATCCACACTTTCTCTCAAGGTATATTTTGTAGCTTATTCCATTGTGTAATTTGTATGTAATTGATTGATTTAAAAGATTTTAATTGAAAAAATATAAATATAACTATAGTATCACCTTACCAGCAAAATTAGGGTTTAAAGACGGAAGGAAAAATATTGGACGAAAACTCTTTTAAACGAAAAGTATGAGAACTTATGTTTTTTTAACACATAAATGCTGTCTGGATGATTGTCGATAAGGTGAAAGGCTCCCATTTCTCACGGAAAAATAATTATAATTTATTTTTATCTACGAACTAACTGATATACACCATATATAAAAAGCTGTCTTTAAATTGCACGTGATGGTGGTATTTGTGAATTGCTACGGGAATTACAACGGTTCTGAACGGTTCAATGACTCATTAAAGAAGTTTATGTAAGATCACATCAAGTTTTCTTTTTCCGATGGTTGAACAAGATCATCCATGTTAGATACTATCACATTTTTTGTCACGCGCAATCTGGTTAAAAACTTTTCGCACAACTCTTGTGTTATAAAAGTGAAATAGCATGTAAAAAGTGTGTTAAGTAGTAAAACTGTAGGACAATCACCAAAAAAAGATTATCCAATAACATATAATTTTTTTGAACTTTCGATTTTGTGTTATCACAATAACCTCCAAAATTTACATAATTTACACAAATTTTACTATTTCACTGTAAAATATCTTAAAAAACAAGTTACTAATACTATACTACAAATAATTTAAGACAATTCAACAAACAAATATTGCGCTATCTGTAAACATGCAACTATCATATCTTTTACTGAATCTTTTACTGAATGTTTAAGCCGTCAGTTCATTATCACGTAACACTCATAATTCAACCATAATTAAAAATCATCCATACATGAACGAGAATAACAGAAACTAAGTTAATTATTCCAATTCCCCTGTGCTCTTATAGCTCAAATTTACAAAAAATGTTTTAAAATGAGTTCAGAACAAGTGCTATCACGATAAATCGACTAAGGGCAATGATTACTAAATTATGACAATATAATCATAATTACAGTTTTATGCCCTCTAAGAGCACATCCGCCTCCTGATTTCTGGAGAAAGTGAAAAACTTTCATATTCCAACAGGTTTCAGCGGGATTGATAGAAAGTTTCTCGGCCAAAAAGTTTCTCGGCTAAAAAGTTTCTCGGCTAAAAAGTTTCTCGGCTACTGATATTTAATTTATTACAAATACGTGCGGGGTTACAGCTGTTTGTCCGAATGTCCGGCAAATTTGACACAACATACAAAAAAGTAATAAATAATGAAAAAGTCTAAATAAAATTCGTCGTTTGGATTTACTCGATGGTAAATGTTTGGCGTGTTACAGTTACTCCTGTCACGTGACGCTTGGCTGCCGAACAAGATGTTCAGCCGGCTCTGTTTACGTTGCCTGCGAGGGGAGGCGATATAGTTCTGTGTCCTCGGACGTGTGGCCCTAATTCAACGATGCAAAATCAGCTTTTAGACTTGATTGAGACGAAGTGGTGAGGCAGGCGGCGTATCTCTGAGGCGGAAGTATCCCTATGGAACTGGATTGTTGATTCAGTTGTAGAATAAGAGAACTAGACAGGATTGCAGTCAGGGTCTTATCCTAACGACATCCACATTTCGTTGCTATCAGGTTCTGATGGGGGGTACAATTCATGGAACCTTGTATTTGTAGTATTTGTAGTATTTGTAGTATTTGTAGTATTTGTAGTATTTGCAGTTGCAAAATGTTAATGATTATAAAGAAGAAAAGTATCGTTTATCAATCATGAGCATAAAATGTATAACTCAAAATGTGATGATCTGCATACCTGAACTTCTTTTCTCCTGAGATCTTTTTCGAAAAACATGGATCTGAACTCCACTGGAACACAACAACTCGGTACGTGTGTCTCTCCGGGCCTTTTTACACCCAGGTGAGCCTGTAAGGATTGAATATTTGTTAGGGTTTGGAATGCAGAATTATTGTCTATAATAAGAAGCACGTTTTTAAGTTTAACGAGTGGAATGGTCGGTGAAGTGCTGAAACTTCCGTTTTTGGAAACAAACCTGCACTATAGTGTGACTGTTGGCTTCTTTTGAATGTCCAACGGAGCTACATGAGCCCACGCACTGGCGAACGTTTACGATTTCAGGGTGCATCCCTTTTGGAAAATCCATCCAAAGTTCTTCTCTGAAAAATGTCACTGGTGAAACTTCCAAAAGCTATAAATACCGCGTAAATGTTTAATTGCCCCACGATATGTTTATTTTGCTGTGCAAGCGGTAAAAATACACATCATGTGCCAATAAATTATTGAATGTGATGTTTTCAGGTTTTATTAATATTACACGCAATGTTTATTAACAACAAAGTGTAAATAACAGATTCCAATCCACAACTTACAGATGACACGGCGAATGGGCAACATCGTCAGGATCGACCATATTTGAAGTCACATCCCGTTTCACTCGGCTACTATCGTCAATATCATCTCCCAGAAACATTTGCAGGTCTACAACCTCGTGAGAGTTATCTCCATAAGCAACTAACATTGGAGTCGTACTGTCATCTGAAATTAAATCAGATTAATTACGAGGATTGATGAAGACGTGGGGTAGTTTAAGACGACTCTGTGAAGAAGTCCTTGGATTAGCCTGTACTAGATTATATCATGACTTATGGGCTTATGATGGGTTGGGCATATGCATATTACAGTATCCTTGGAGCTGCGGTCAGTTTCAACTTTCAGGGACACCATGGAATGTGCCTGTAATCTGTAAAGTATCACATATCCAAATAGTACCGTATAATTAAAACAAAGACTACGTAAGCGGTAAGTACCGTCTAGATTGAGTTAAGCCCCGGTCTAAGTGAGCCCGGTTATCGATATCAATTAGCTTCAGGTCAACCATGTCTTTTCAGGAAGATTTCTGTTTTCTTTCATATTATAATGAATCACATACTGGTTAGAAAAATTGTTTTGACAAAAGTCAGTTACGTTTTCTAAGAAAAATACTTACGTATGTCGAGGTTGTTTCTTGTAACAATAAGATCTAATCCACGAGAAAGCCCGTAAACAACATCTCTGTTGAGAGATATGACCTGAATCATTCCATCTTGAAGATTTTGTTCTGTCCGGAGTTCGGTCAGGTGACTTCTGTTTCGATAATGCACAGACGGGACGTCCAGTGTAGAATCTGTGTGGATGGTTGTAATAATGTCATTGCATGGTTGTTTTAATTGCTAGGTAAAGGTTAGATTGAAGTTAAATTTGTTAGATTGAAGTCAAATTCGTTAACAGCTAAAAGTATAAGTTTCACAGAAAATTTCATACAATCTCTGCGATCACTTTAATCATAATGCTCAGATCAACGGAATTATAACTTAATTATAACTTCAAGTTAAAATAAACAGCGTACAAATAAGAGCGGTAAGTTACCAATAATATTAAACTGAAGTTAAAATAACTTACCAAGAACTCGAATAAGAAGCTCGCATCTGTCAACCGTGGGACTGAGCATGGCAGAGAGATTGCTAAACCTAATTGAAAATCTATTTCTCCTGGACACGTACGCACCTGTAAAGTTACTTTAGTGAGTGATGACAGTTGGTACAGAAATGAACATGTAAAATCGAAGGTTAATAATTTCGCACTACAAGTACGAATAAGTGGAACAAGAAATACTTTCGCTTTTGGGTGTGGAATGCGGTCATCGTGATGACAGTATCACAGAAAATACGTAAACTGTATTTGTATCCACTAGAAATCAAACGATCATGCGAGAGCTGTGACGTTAATCCCTAAAATTAAATGAGTCTACGAGGATGGTCACTACGTGATGGCTATGTCTCAGATCAAGATGCAGCATATCGCGTGATCCAAATAATTTGTAATTCACTGTATGCAGCTTCATAAGTGTCTATAAGTGTTGTCTGAGGTTAAGCGATCTTCAAATAATACGAGCAACAAAGTATGGCGTGATCAGAATTATCACTTTGACAAAAACAAATATCAAAGCTTTAAAGAATTAAACGTTTTTGAAAATATATTTGAAAATTGTTGATGATAATACATAATATTCCATCGACAAAACAGTTGTTCCTTTTATTACCTGACGTAGAGGAAGCGTAGAGTTCAGAGGGTAAACTGTTGCTAATCGTAGGGAGGGAATTCTGGTTTTGGGGAGTGGCCAGGACCACTGCGGTACACCAAACTATCGTTAAACCGATCATCTTTCTTGTGACTTTAAAACTAGTATACCTATATCAAATAAACAGCTGTAAAGCCCTGGTATGGTAGCCAATAGTAGTAATCAAACTGAGAACTGAAGTAAATATGACAGGGTAATAACATATCAACATTACCCTGAGATAATGACGCAATATCTTTCAGAAAATAAAGGCGTAGGGAAGGAATTAAGAAATTCGGGATCAGGCACGCAACTCGGGGAGAGTGAGGAATGTGACCCGCCCGGCCGCGGCCGGTCTGCATTGCATTCCGATAGTGTGTCGGTCAGGGAACTGATGATATATATCTTGCAGCTGGGAGTGGAGACCGAGAAGTTTCTAGCACGCGTAGTATAATAAGGTCAGCTGTTTTAAACATCCATGGGGAGTCTTGCTTGTAGTGGGATTGTGGGATTGTGGGAATCATGGCCGGGGTGTTAAGAGGTCGGCGCGTGAGGTTTGGGTATGTGAGGGTGTTTCCTTTTTGATGTTTCTCCAGAAATTTCAGTTAGATTCATTGCTTAGGGCTAGAAACTTATTGAGATGTAACACCGAAGAAATACCGTACGATTTTGCGCGACATTTTGAAAGTAACAATTTGAAAACTTTCGGTGCTTCCCGATACCTTTCAGGAGTTTTTGTGTTCCCAAGCTCTTAAAAACTAAAAACAGCGTGATAAGTAAACTCTTTTTAAGCATATTTCTGACAAATTTAAATTATCACGTGATCAAATACATGGAAATATGGAGCCAGTACTAAGGCAAAACCAGTATCAATCCCAATCAAAGTAATTCGTGCAGCCCAATTTGACACCTAATGAACAAAAGGCCATTCTTTGAATAATTTGAAGGGACCTCGAAAATGTACAAATACCTTGTCAGCTCTATGACTATGATACATAAATTACTTTGCGAGGTTTACTGTTGCTTGATGACTTGGTTACAAATATGGCCATCAAAATATTACTTATTACAATCGAGTTATGACAGTACAAGCCAACTAACATCAAAACAGCCATTACAGAACGCGAAATTTCTGAAATAAACGAAAGAAAAGTTCTACAACAGTCCCCCTCCCAACATTTTAACTAAACACATCGACCAGGCAAACACGAAAAAACAAATACCTGGACACAGGACTAAAAATAGTTGTAAGGTAGCAACAATCACCTGAACAGTTTATTATTTATAACCGTTTTGTGGAGCAGGGTGGACGGAGAACAGTGACGCATGACTCAGTGCTTCTGACGCTCGTGTTGCAGCCGCAATTATTCTATTTTTTCGGTTAAATATAAACTAAATGGACACATTAGGAAAATGCTAGAGTTCAAGGGTATATTCTGTGACGTATATTTTACGTCTTTGAGTGCCAATTAAGCTGGGAACAAAATATGAGAATCATGGTGGAAGGAATGGCAGAAGTGTTTAAGATGAAGACAAGCAAATTGGCCAATTGATACTTTTAGACTGAGCAATATATGTTGGGCTAGTTAGAGCTTATTATAATAGACCATAGGAAATCTTCCGATTCTCGAACTTTCTAATTTTATTTTCTGGTTTAAAATAGTGATGAACATTCGTCGGAAGCTGATGGTTGAGCATGGCGACAAAAATGAAAACGAAGATCATTAGCGAATCACTAGCTATGTACACAATCTGGAAGGAGCAACTGGCGAAGGTATGACGCAATCAACAGCATTGCAAATTTTATTACAATGCTACTAATCCTGGTAAGGAAACTTAAAAGAAAGCACTTTGATTGAATGACCGAAATGTGCCACTGGTTTGGAAATAACGCAATCCCCAAATTCCTTTTTGGAATGTTTTCCGCTGTGTGCGATACCCGAGCCAAGATGAAAACTATTTTCACTTGATCTGAATACTTCTGGTTACGTTTGATGGTGACATTTTTAACATTTGGGTAAGCAAAGAACGTTAGTTTAATGCTCTTAAGTTAGTTCAGGGCAGGTGAACGTCTTTTACTTAACACCTTTCAGCTCGTAGAATTACTATTTTTATCAATGATTATGATGACTGATCGCACGTTGTAATATTTAAGATGTGATTATAATATCCTGTATGAAACCAGACATAATTATTTAAGTTTGGTATGTGACAAAACGGTGATATACTATCTAAATTGTAGATTTAGGCCCTTATAAGGGTATTTTAATAAAAATGCTAACAACGAGTTTTACGAAGCTGGCTCTTAAAACGGATTTTGAAATACCGCACCCACCCCGTAGCTTGGCCCGGTTTCAATAAACTGTTATTATCGTTAATTATTATCTTAAAAGTAGGGATGAGAGCGTGATGTATCACTATATTTGTGTCTGGGTTTAGTACGTTTCAGCCTCCGCCCAAAATTTAAATATGCTTACTTGGAATTTCGGTACCAAGTGGGGTTATAGATACCAGTTGCAGTGCGACAAATTGTGGTAATTATAGTAATACCATTAATTTCTGATGGAGAAGGAAACTGTGGACGAATAATTTGTCAACAGAAACGAACTGCGTTCGAGTTTGTATTTTTATCCGCTCTTATATCGATAAATATAGGACAAGCACATTGGTCCTGAATTCCTAATTTTGAGAAAAGTGTATTTTATTTACTATTTATATCACTTTCAACACTATAATATAACAAACAATTTGAGTATAGTTATTTAATGGGATGCTTTAACCAGGTACAGCTATATAGTCCACACCCTGGCTCCATAATATGAAGGACATGCTTTAATTCCAAATGAAGTGCACGAATACCGGAGGAAGATCTCATTATCCCGTTCTTGTAACTCATTTCTCCATCGGATAATACAAATATAGATTCTGATAAATTCTGTGGAAATTGAAGATATTTTATAAGTCAATTAAAACGCCTGACAGGAATGTAGGGTCTACTATTATAGTCCCACCAACAGTTCTTAACATAAGTATTCAGACATCCAACAACTGGGAGATGGTGGGCTTCAAAGTTCCAAAGGTATAATAATAATCTATTGTTAGCATCTCCTTAAATACCATCTCTCGGGGCGTGTAGTAAAAACCGGGCCAAAACTTCCCGGTCATTATATGGGACTGCATTACGCAAAGTGAGCTCTCGACTTTAAGCAATGTACTTTTTGCTCCTTTTACTTCCATTTTGGAGCTGCGAACCCGGAAGTGTGGTAGTGAATATCGCCGCACTAAAATATGACCCAGAATGGAAATATGGCGAGCAACCCTGCAACTTTAAGTATGTGCTGACAGGCCTTAAGAGAGGGGTGGATCACCCTAGACAGGGCACTACTGCTGCGCTATAATTAACCCCTGCAGCTGATGAATTGTTAATTGTTGGCCGCGGGCACAAAACAATGTTAAGTAGTTTGGGAGAGAGCGAGAGAGAGCGAGAGAGAGCGAGAGAGAGCGAGAGAGAGCGAAGAGTGCGAGAGAGAGCGAGAGAGAGAGCGAGAGAGAGCGAGAAAGAAAGAGATGAGATAACATGAGTTGCTGAAAACTCTCAGCACAACAAAGCCCTGAAAGGGCCTCAACCGACTAAATAAGATGTAATGACTACCCACCGAACGGGCTTCAACAATTCCAATTACAAAATTATTGGCGCTAACACTACAGTGTTATTTTTGCAGAGCGAGCGGGGAAGGATAACTAGCTGGGATATTTTATTAGGGCTTTAATGACAACTAGAGCAGCAGAACACTCACCCCACCCAAGTCTTGTGATCTCTACAGCTCTTGTTATGTTGGAGCTAGAATGTGGGAATGTGGGAGTCTCGTTATCAAGTTGTGAGGATGGTGGAGTGGTAGGGGCAAGCATATTATATGCGGTAAATACCGGGATAGAGGTGGAACATAATGCACGGATTTAACGGAGGATTTGTTAACCAAATCTGTAGGGGAATCTTTGGTATGATCATTGATTTATGTATGGGTTTGGAACTTTCTTTACGCCCTAGAGCAGGACCTGCCCGAAATTTCAGAGTGTCTGCCGTTGTGGCAAATTTTTCTTGGTTTCCTCTAGTAGGTGCTCTTCACAGCACGATCTGGCACCGCGTTATGTGACAATAGTGTTGTTTTAGAGTCGGGAAATGAGAGGCAGGCGACGTTGGTTGAAACTTCAAAATTGTAACCTTGTCAAGAAGTGTTTAAAAGTTTTTCCGGTATATATCGTGTAGCCAATTGTCCTCGAATGGGCATGGCCACAATTAGGCTGGGAATCTTAGTTATTTGTCAATGTGTCAGGTAAACAGTGAACAACTTTTTTTTCGGAGAATTTTTCCTAGAATTTGGGTCGGGGTGGCAAAAGTTTTCGGCTAATTATTATACCGCAGAATGATAGTGATAATATAATTCATGTACAAATAAGGTAACGAAACATGCAAGGATCAGGATTAACTAGCTAATTATTTGCCCGGAAAGGAAGTTAGGACTGTGATAGCTCAACAGCCAATAAGAGAATAAGTATAAGTATTTGGAGACTTTACAGGTGGAATTTATTGTTTTTGGGTTGTTCAGTGCGTACCTATGCTGAATTTTATTATTATTATTTATTTTCCTTTCCATGCACCCAAATCGAATAAGCACAACAATACCTTATTCATAATCATCGGCAATCTTAGACCACCCGTGAAACCGCGAATAGGACGAAATATCTGAGAATTCGAAATATTTGAATAATATTACAACGCTAAGCCAAAAATTCTTTGGGTGGGCTAAGCCGGGAGTGTTCTCGTAAAATCGGATCGCTAGTTGAATTATTACAATCTTAAAAATATACAAATAACCCTCTTCCATTTTATTTCAATATTATATTTTAATACAGTCTCGACTGAATTAAAATCATGCATCATATTATGTAAATAACTACTCTCCCGATAGTTCTCACTATTCTATACTTTCAGAAACAAAAGAATTGCCTAATTAAAAGGTGTTAAAGGTGTCAAAGGTGTTAAAGACAAAATATATACTGTCACTTTTTCCTATTTTCACACCGTTTCCACCGTTTAGACTTAAACTGAAAAAGTAAACAACAAAACACTGCCCCAACACGAAACAACGCCAGA